GTTTAGTGTGAACTTGGGCTTAAATTTAATTTCAAATGGCATTTAACTTGCCTTAAGTTGCAGGAACTAGGGTTGGGCAAAATTGTATTGTGTGCAATTAATCGTCAGAAAAACGTGAATTGGTTATTTTTTGGCATTTGACGATAAATATAATTAATGCCACCAGGCAGACTGGAGATTTCCTCAGTCAGTCCGCTTGGTGCTCCTCTCCGCTTCAAATATGACAAACATTAAAAAAGTTCTGTATTTTATTTATCATTACTCTGGTTTTACTTGGTCTATCAACACAATTTAAAAATTGATGTATAGCCTGAAGTCTGTACTTTTGACACAATTTGGAACAGATTTTTATGGAGAGTAAATCTTTCCCACTAGAGTGATTAAAACTGGTATATGACTAGAGTATGAGGGCATCCAGGGACTCCAGGTGATTAATCATCATATTAATCCTTGTCGGCTAAATACTACAATTAATCATGATTAATTTTATGCCAGTATTGCCCAACCCTAGTAGGAACCCTTTAAAACCTCCAGTTAAGTTCATATTTAATGTTTTTCTGTCAATCATTTTTCCCCCATATTTATGACCAGCTTTAGATTTCAACCACGAAGAACTTGGCGAGGATTTACCATTTCTGCAGACCCCATCAAACTCCAACTAYGTCCCAGATGCGGTGATGCCGCCAGGCGAGCTGTGGCTCCATGGAGGCCCCTCCCGGGCCGTGCTGTCCCTGCCTTCCTGTCTGTGCCTCTCCAGGCTCAGCGCACCCAGAATCTCCGGACTGGGGCYTTCGGTCGAAGACCAGGGGGAGATGAAGGTGTTTGCCAAGTGTCAGCTTCAGCAGGGGGTCATGTTTGGGCCTTTTCTGGGAGAAATGTGCAAAGGACAAATGCCAAGCAACCTCAAATATGCCTGGGCTGTGAGTAGACCGACACCAACAAATTATATATAGAATGTTGGGTTATAAACGGTTACAAATATTTAATTTGATCGCTGTATTTTCTCATCTTTACCGAATGTTTTGTTGTGTTCTAGATTCGAGATGATGCTGCTTTTACTTTTGTGGATGCTTTCGATGAGAACAAATCGAACTGGATGAGGTGAGAGGTCATCATCATTTAAGACATTTTTTTATTTGAAAACTCTCGCTGCGTGGGAAAACGTGACTCTGTGTGCGTTTGCGCCATTTTTCAGGTACGTGACGTATACGAGTAGTGAGGCCGAACACAACCTGGTCGTGTTCCAGTTTTATCGGCACATTTACTACCGGGTTTCCCAGCCCATCTCRGAGGGGTCAGAACTCAAAGTCTGGATTGGGAAGGATTACGCTTCTCTTTTGGGTCTGGGTTTAAGTGAGTTTAATGACTTTTGATATTAGATTTTTTTCTCCCTGTATATACTATAGTAACTCTCAGCTGATTGTAAACTTGAATCTATTTTAGGGCTGCAACAACGAATCGATAAAAATCGATTATTAAAAGCGTTGGCAACGAATTTCATTATCAATTAGTTGTGTCGTGCTATTTATGCATCCCTCGCCATGTCGCGGAGCCGTTTATGTCACCCGCAGAGCGTTGTCAGTGCTGGCTGACCTAAATAAAGTTTAGGAAGAAAAAAAACTCTACCTGTAAAGATCCGCCCTCTGATACTAAATCCACCATTTATTTCCTCCTCAGGCCAAAAATACAAAAATATATAAAAATCCACCAGTTTTTTCTGACTGAGGCTCAAAGTTATTTGTTAAGCAGCAAAAAGGTTCAGGACGAAGGAATAAAAAATAAATAAAAAAGACGCAGCAGCAGGTCTGCCTCAGTAGGGGAGGGGCTGCTTCAGAACTTCTTACTGGCTCATAAAACACTAAGTCAGACAGAACCAACAAGAAGGAAGCGAAAAGTAAAGAACTATAGAAAAATCATAAATGTTAAATGTAAATAAATTCTAATTATAATAAATTAATAATAGTTTACATCTAAAAATGATATGTTATTCTTTTAATCTATTTTCCTCATTCAGCAACCTATTAAATTTCTGCTGTTTTATGTATGACAAATACACATTTTCTTCAGTCAGTCATACAACTGGAAAAATAAAATGTTAAAACATTTATGATGTGCTTCTGTTTTTTTAATTCAGCAGATTATAAAAAAATCCTTCATGTTATGAAAAGACCATCGTAATTGAAGAGAAAACTCCAGTTTTTAAGAAAATGACTACTAATCAATTAATTGTTTGGCAATATATAAGATAGATCAACTTATGTAATTAAGCGTTTTAACGATTTGGCCGATTTGTCGAAAAAATAATCGACAGATTAATTGATTTATTAAAATAATCGTTAGTTGCAGCCATTTGTATTAAACTCGTTAAAGTTGACCCATTTAATTAGGTTCTGTCGGTCCCACAGGTGATAATGGGAAATGTGAAATTGGAGACAAGGAGACAGCTCTGCGCCTCCTGCAGGACATCCAGCTGATCACCCTCCCAGAACCGAGCAGCACCTCTCTTTGGTCTGACTGCAGCCAGTCGCAGAGCCCCATGCCCATCATCAGTGAAGTGACGACCTTCTCAAACCCAGAAGCAGCCGGCGACCCGAGCCTGGTTCCCAACTCGACCTTCCCGTCCACGTTCTCCTCCACATTCCCCTTGCTGTCCTCCAGCTCTCACGTGATGGAGAAGTACGACTTCCTGCCCGGAACGGAGAAGCTGCTGACCAACCTGAACACCAATCAGAACAGCCCCTGGCACTTCTTCGGTCTGGAGCCGGACCCRACCGGTCGGCCTCTGGACCGGAACACCGCGGTGTGCAAGCTGTGCATGGAGCGAGTGAGCTGCGGAGGAGGAGGAGCAACGGATCTCCAGATCCACCTGACCACCAAGCACCACATCAAACCCCGTGACATCAGCAAGGATCGCAGTGTGGCGACAGGTAGGAGAGTTTGTAACCACACACACTCAGTAATTCTATTCAACACTTCAACAATTAAAGACCAAAAATTTTAAAGAAATWATTTGTGACCAGATTAGATCAATTTATCGATAAACAAAATATTTTAAGTAGCAGTCAGTACGGGTTTAGAGCAAATAATTYTACATCATTGGCTCTCATGGAATTAATAGAACAAATAACAACAGCTGTTGATCAAAACAGTACTGTGTTATTGTTTACATTGATTTAAAGAAAGCATTCAACACCTTTGATCACAGTATTCACCTTGAAAAGCTGAATCAATATGACAGAGGATCAGCACTGCAGTGAAACACAGGAAACAGTTTGTAGAAATACATGATATAAGATCTGAACTCTTTAACATCACATGTGGAGTTCCTCAGGGTTCTGTMCTTGGACCAAAGTTATTTATTTTATATGTGAATGACTTGGTAAATGTGTCAGAACATTTTAAATGTGTTTTATTTGCAAGTGATACCACATTTATTTGTTTGGGTAAAAATATAGAACAGATGTTGGAAATAATGCAGACAGAATTTGTAAAAGTACAAAATTGGTTTCACATTCATAAATTATCATTAAATTAGGATAAAACAAATTACATGATATTATAGAACTCTTGATGACATCTAGAGTTGCTGGTGTTGAGATTTGTAGAGTCAGTGAAGTGAAGTTTCTGGGTGTTKTTATTGATGAAAAACTGACATGAAAATCTTACATAAATTATTTAAGAAYAAAAATAGCTAAATAATGCGTTACTGTACAAAATAAGGGAGTTATTCAATGATAAAGCACTGTATATGTTGTATAATGCAATAATTGTTCCACACATAATTTATTGCATTGAAGTTTGGGGTAAAGCATTCAAAACACTTACAAATCCTTTTTTGTTTTACGAAAAAGAGCGGTAAGAATTATCACCAGAAAACATTACAGCCACCCATCAAATATATTATATCATCAATTGAAAATATTAAAATTCTATGATTTCGTTTATTATAATATTTTATTGTTTATGTATGAGGCTCACAAAAACACATTACCTTCTAACATACAAATAAATGTTGTTAAGAGAGAGAGCTATTATGGAGATGTTTGTGAATCTTTGGTTTCGTACCAGTTTGAAGGAGCATTCTACTTTAATCCAGGGAACAGGATTGTGGAATGAGGATGGTGTTAAAAATGACAGATGTATGTACTTATTTAAGAGGAAGATAAAAGTTAGTTTTTTATGAAATATGAAATAGCATAATGTTTTTTTCTCTTCTTGGAAAAAAGGGGGCAGATATAAGATTTTTTTATTCAGTTTTTTTTCCATCTCTTGTAAACAGTTTTATTTTCAATGAAATGAACAAATTTCTAAACAAATAATAACTACACCATCATCTATTTTTTAAAAACGCCCAAATGCTTCTTTTCCTCAGTGTCTCTACGATGCGTACCACCGGTGATCCCTCCCAGCGGTCTTGTTAGCTCCAGCCCCGCAGTGATGCCGATGCAGGTGACCCACGCCATCGCCAACTTCCTGATCCGGGACCTGCAGGCCCCGGCTCTGGTGGAAGGGGAGGGCTTCAAACAGCTGCTGCACACCGTCCTGCCCTCYTACAGGGAGACGCTCTCGTCCTGCCAGCTGGCAAGCCTCCTGACGGAGCACCACATCCGGAGCAGGATGAGCCTCCTGCAGCTGCTGAGGGGCAAGTCTGGTAGCGCYGAAGCCGAGGAGACGTGCGACTACACTGCTCCCATTGAGTTCGAGCCCCGGAGGCGCGGGCGACCCTCCAATCGTCAGAGGGAAGTGTGTCACTTGGTCACCCTGAGCGTGGACGTGTGGCTGCACAGCTGGCAGGGCAGCAGCCAGCGCTACCTCACCCTCTGGGCGCACTACATAGATCATGACTTCAGTCCTCACAACCTGGCCCTGACCACACAGAAGCTGGCGGAGGGCAGAGGAAAAGACTTCAGCCTTCAWGCTGTGGAGGCGCAGGTGAAGGCGATGGCACGGGAGTGGGGGGTCTCTCAACCCAATCTGGTCCTCCTGGGAATGGAGGGCAAAACCCCCACGAGGGTGGGTCTGATCAAAAGTGAGAAGGGCGCAGAGCCCACGGGAAGCGTCCCCCACCCGAACTCAACGACGTTTCTAGAGCGGGACGACTCTGTGTCCTCCGAGGAGCCCCAGGCCTCCTCAGAGCTGTACAGCGAGGGTCTCCCGTCGCTTCCGTGTTTCTTCAGTGCCGTGCAGGGCTGCGTGGGCGAAGTCATGTCCCACCCGGTCGTCTCAAAAACCCTGACCCAGTTCCAGAGTGTTCTGTCCAGTCTGCTGTGGCCACCCGCTCACAAGAAAGGCTTCTACCTGCACCACGTTCGGAAGCTGCTGCAGGCCCTGACCAAGCGGGAGCAGGCGGACGTCAAGTTGTGGGCTCACAGCCCGCCCCCCTGGAACTCTTTTTACCACCTGCTGAGCTTCCTCAGCAAACAGAAGAGTGTCATCTGCGATATAATCAAAGAGATTAACGAGGAGAGCTCGAACAGGGAGGAGACGGCTTCAGAGCCGTGCAGCAGCTACCACGCCAACTCCACCTCCAGCACGCCGTCGCCGAGCCTCCCGACGCTGCGCTCCGAGTGGAAGGTGGTGGAGGAGCTCTGCCTGGTGCTCAAACCTCTGGACGTGGCCTGCCGGACTCTGGCCAAGGAGGCCTTCCCCCGTCTGTCCCTGGTCAAACCCATCCTCACCGGCTTGCTGTCACGCCACCTCGTGCCGCGGCCGGGCGACTCCAGCACCTTGAAGGAGGTGAAGCGGCTGATGAGGCGGAGCTTATCCAGCTGTTACGACAACCCCGCCGTGAACAGGATTCTGAGCGTGGCGTGCTCCCTCGACCCCCAGTTCCAYGGGCTGGGCTTCATGGAGGAAAGGGTGAGGTCTACTTTTTGAATTTTTGAGAAATTATTTAGGCAATAAACAGAAATCTAGTGCCAGGTGAWAGGGCCTGAAATCARTATCACAATTTATTGACCAGTTCACCTCGATAACGATAAATGCACAATAACACTTACTGCCACCACACACAGGTACACAGTRTAGTATAATCATAACACAGTTTAGTATTCTCTAATGATGCATTATACAAAAATTTTAACCTGAACTATTTGGRCCAAAGGGATTTGTAAGGAAAAGTTTGATTTTGAACAGCTTTTCTTTGTCATTTTAGTGTTTTTAATATATTTAATAAATAAAAAAACATTTTTCTCAAGACTTGAGTCGGATATAGTCATAGAAATATTTAACCATCTCCATAACTTTTCAGTGCAAACAAACACAATATGTATGTACTATAATTTTATATTTTAAAAAATATACCATGTCTTTTGTACGGCACAAAATAACTACATTTTTTTATTTGTTAGACTGACTAATTTCTCCATTAAAATAACTATTTCTTTCAAAAAGATTATATGATTTAGAGAGCTCATGTAATCATTTAATACAATTTATTCTTCATTTTTGATCATTTATTGAATCACAGAGCAGTTCAGTCACAGTGGTTCTAAATATAAGCAAACTATATTGTGAAGAATTAAATTTGTAGATATCTATGACAAACTACAAAAAGAACAAAGCAGGTTTGTTTTATTTTGCTGGGGGGGCGGGGCTAACGGTAAGCGGAGACTCGTCTGCTGGGGCAAACAAARTGTTCATCTGAGTTAATATTTTGGAAGAGCTCYCTCAGAACATCTCAGCCTGTGTGCACCTCACTCCTGTAACAGCTCTGAGGAGGAGAGGAGTTTGGTCACGCGAACAAAGTTGGACATATCTGTTCGATAACGACGCTCTGAACACATAAACTTATAGTGTGTTAGATTTTAGATGCTTATGTCTCTGGTAGCTCAGGAGAGAAGTGTGGAGGATGGGGTTTTCTCACTCAGGACAGGAGCTGCAGGCTGTGTTTATCCTGCAGACTGCTGCACCGACATCAGAAAGACCCGCCCTGCTCTGCTCTGATTGGATAAAACTGTGGGGTTTGTTTGATTTGTTGAAAGCAGCGTCTGTTTAAACCTGTATCAGACTGGGTGGCTTTAACCAGACTGCAGCAGAAAACAAGCAGGTTCTCCGACATGGGCAAAATGACGTTGGTCATGAAATTASCATTSGCTCCATATAATTTATTTTCCTGGGCAAGTTTTTATTACTGGTATTATCATGAATATGATAAGGCCCAGCCCTAATGAAAACATTACTTTTTAGCTCTAAGTTTTAAATTGGTTTAAAGACCAATTTATAACCTCAGTCCACATTAAAAGGTGATACAAATCTGTGGCATCAATTAAAGACATAGTTTAGTCTCATTTTTCCAATCTGAGCTCATACAGATCTACAAACAGTAAAATACTGATTGTTCATAATATCTCCACAGAACTTTAAATATTCCACGTGTGAATGAGCAGAACTCAGTATTAATAACACATTCAGTCCTCGTATAGAACTGTTTTCATTGTTTTAATTTCATGCTGTCCTGTTTTTTGCTCTCACTTGTTAGTTTTCTCAGGTGTTACAAGAATATCCTGGAAGTTGAATTAAAATCCTTTGCCTTGATGTTTCAGGAGCAGACGGACACGTTTAACTGGCTGAAGGAGGAGGCTGTGAGGATCGTGAAGGACAACAGGAAGAAGAATTTGCCTAAGACGCATCGGATCAAGAGAAGCTCCTCCCCTGCGTCGCCTGAGTCAGAGAGCGACATCGTGCGGAGGAGCAAACGACTGAAGGAGTGCCCGCCCATCAACTTCAGAGAGCTGGTGGTGGAAGAGGAGTTCAGCGACGCCGGGGAGGTGGAGGGAGACGACAGCGACTATGTGGAGCCGAGCTCCGAGCCCGGGCTCTCCGGCATGGAGTTCCTGCTGGGGGACCTGTTCTGCTCCGCCCCCCGGAGCAGGCTGAGYTCGGCGGAGGAGTCCGTCGACATCGAGATGTCGGTCTTCAGAGCCGACAAGGGGGCTTCGCTGGGCGTGGAGCCCCTGCAGTGGTGGAGGAGGAAGGCGGCACAGTTCCCCCTGTTGGCCTCGGTGGCTCGAGCCTACCTGGCCGCCCCAGCTGTGGCGGGCAGCGCCGCCCAGGACTTTGTGCACCGAGAGCAGGGAACCCCGCACAGGAACAGATCGAACATCCCGCCCGAGAGTTTGGATGCTATTCTGTTTCTGCACCACAATCGCATTTCTTCCAGCGAGAACGGGCCGACGAGTATGCAGGAATGATGGAGGGGAAAAAAAGTCTGGACGTTTTATTTGCATGTTTAAAAAAAAAAAGACCAAATYCACACATTGTGATTCAGTTTGTAGAAACAGAACCAGCAGCTGGAGAATACRAAGTGCAGTACAATCAGAGCGTTATTCTCAACTTTAATGTCTTTTTTTTCTCAACTAAAATCCAACATGTTCAAAGTTTAAAACAACTTTTAATCTGCTTTTTCTAATCGACGTAAAATGATTTCCCTTCAACATTTAAAACAAATAATCTGTATTTTATCACTGATTTGACCTTTTGTGTTCATTCCGCTGTAGTTCCCAGTGCCTTATTTCAGTAGTCCCACATTAAATTTAGATTTTTAATCTCTTTGTTTTTACCAGCTGATCATAGTGGACTGACAAAGGGCTTCATGGGGGCACCTTGTACTGTTTGCCTGTGCTGTTTGTATTTGTTTTGTTTTTAATTACCCACTGCCAAGGAGAATAGGCAACAATGCTGCATTTTCAACTCAATTCATTTTGAATATTTATCTAACATCTGCTGTGGCAGACAGTAGCTGAGAGTCATCCTCAACACATCAAGTCCCTTTTCATCACAAGATATTTGCGTAAAATGTTTTTATTTTGATTATTATTTTGCAGAAGTTGCTCAAACTTTACATTAAAYTTTGTTGTAGCTCAATCCACGATTTAAAAAGACCAGATAAAAAGGAAAATAATGAAAATCTTCTCTGCTGGACTGATTGGTTCCACTTTCTACACTGAGTTCAGTCTGTGTCAAACTCCTGTCTGTTCCTGAATGTAATATTTTAAACCTTGTCTTGACATCACTACTGATTTTTTTCCTCTTAAAAGTATAACAAACTTGTTCCTCACTTTTTAAAATAAAAAAACAACCTATATTACTATTTAGCATCTTTGATTTATGATTTCTTGGGGGGATAAGTGGGTTTAACATTTAGTAATGTGTTACGTTTCATGTTTTAATGAAAAATAAGGATTACTGAAGMAGCTGTGAGTTTAAAACTAATCACTTTGTTGTTTACATTATTTAAAAACATATTTTTCACTTGGTTGCTGCTCTGGTGAATACAGGTGTGTGTTAACACAACACTAAGGTAGAAAGACATCAATTTAAGAAGGGTCAAAGGTCATTTTGGAGTCATAAGTTTAAAACATTTAAGACAGCTGCCAGTCCTCTCGGTAGTGGGATGTCTCAACAAATTCACCCTGAAGGTCAGACTGTGCAGTGCCCAGAGAAATGAGCTCCATCCTCCAGTCTGTTAGCAGGGTAAAGGTCAAAGGTCATGGCTTGTTTGGAAGGGTTGCTGAAGAAACTGAAGCAAAGAGGGTAAAGTTACGTTTTTTATTTATTGCCACCACCTGGTGGAATTCTTTACCTGATGTAACATTTTTCTTTAAATCTTTGTAAAAATATTTATTTATAACTTTCCTCAGTCAGTAAAACTTTGAAAGACACGCTGTGTTAAAAACAAACTTCTTTGTACTTTAAAAACTTGAGTAAAAATGTTTACAAAATGTTTTTATTTGTAGCGTTAAAAAGCAGAAATGATCCCTTCGCTACAGTTTGGCTTCAGATAAGGTGGAGTCAGTGGAGACTTGGGGGTGAGAGCTGTTCTTCCTGCTGTGGGCTTCTCTCCTGCAGTGGACGTAGATGTAAAGAGGGTGGATGAAGGCCAGGAGGGTGAGGAGGGTGAGGGTGATGTCCACCTGGAACAGATAGCTGATATTAAAAATGCTGCTCACTTTAATGTTGGATTCAGAGTTGTTTTACGTTACAKTCATCACTTGTTCTTTTCTGTTTCTAAACTGTAACTGTCTCACATAAAATGGATCCCCTTGCAGAGGTCCGTTGACCAGGGCGAAGCAGGGGTACTGCAGCAGGGAGATGACAGCAGACAGACACATCACCAGGCCGTACAGCTTCCCAAAGTGAGTGGCTGGAAAGCTGAGATGCAATGAAATGTGAGTTATTTTGATACATTTAGCATTTTAAGGATAAACTCTATCCTGCACTTCACCCACGCGATGCTAATGAAGGCTGCGTTTCCCCCGTAGAGGAAGGAGCGATTGAGGACCTGCAGRATGAAGGTGAGGTACTGCAGGGGGAGGAGAGGGATGGAGGCGCACGCCGAGAAGAGGAGGCACTGCAAGGATGTCAGGAACAGTGACAGGCAGGAGGAGCGCAGGTCCGCCTCCCGTTCGGTTTCTCCTGCAGCGCCAGAGAAACAAGGGGTGAAGAGGGCTGCTGCGGTGTCACACTAACACAGGTCGGGATTTTTTTTTTTATAGTATTTATTCATTTCATTTTAAAAAACATAAAACACATTACATACAATAAAACAATACAAATAAAATAAAATGAAAGGCAGCGGCAGAAGAAAAAAACATATCTGCTCCTATTTACAAAAAAAATTATATTAATTTCAAACAATAATAAAACAAATAAATAAATTCAACTCTTCAAACAATAACGCATAAAAATACAACAATTTCATATTTGATCATTTTTTAAAAGGAATTAATTGATCCAATGCTTTTGTAAACATTTCCCAGATTATTCCATAGTCTTATACCTTTTACTGAAGTACATCTCTCCTTCTAATTTTTTGTTTGGATTTTCAGTTTAACAAACATTTGTAATCCCTTCAAATTATAGCAGCTTTCCCTTTTAACAAAATCTGATTGGATGTTTGAAGGTAACACATTTTTATGAGCCTTAAACATAACCTGCAGAATGTTATAATCAACCAACTCATACCATTTTAATAATTTTAATTGATGAAACAATATTTTAGATGGGTAATAGTAATGCTTTCTTGTGATAATTCTTATGGCTCTTTTTTGTAAAATAAAAAAAAGGATTAGTAATTGTTTTACATGCATTTCCCCAGACTTCTATAAAATAAATCAAATGTGGAACAATTATTGCATTATATAGCATAAATAGTGTTTTATCATTAAATAACTCCTTAACTTTATACAGCACTGCAATAGATTTTGCCATTTTTGTTCTTAAGTAATTTATATGCGGTCTCTGTCAGTTTTTCGTCAATAACACCCAAAAACTTCACCTCAGTGACTCTACAAATTTCAACACCTTCTACTCTAAATGGAACATCAGTTGTTTTCTTTCTATTACTAAATATTATGTAATTAGTTTTATCCAAATTTAATAACTTATTACGATTAAACCAATTTTGTACTTTTACAAATTCTATTTCCATCATTTCCAACATTTGTTCTATGTTCTTACCCAAGCAAAAAAATGTAGTGTCGTCTGCAAATAAAACACATCTAAACGAYCCCGACACATTTACCAAATCTTAATTATATAGAAGAAACATTTACCAAGTCATTATTATATAGAAGAAACAACTTTGGTCCCAGTACAGAACCTTGTGGAACCCCACGTACAACATTTACCGTCGGCTCGAGGTTTCCCTTTATGTCTGTCCAGGATGAGTCCGTTCCAGGGGGCGCAGAGGACTCCACACAGCTGGGTCACTGCAAAGGCGTTGGTGTACTGACTCACTGATGGAGAAGGAGACAAGCAAACTGAAATTAGACGTGAAGATGAAAATATCAGTAAGAAAAAAAAAAAAAAGAAATAATTTACCCAGGCTTGTGTCGTTTTCAGCCAGCCGGTTCAGCGTGGTGTTGAGTGTCCCGATGAAGAGGTAGTGCCTCAGCTGCATCAGGGACARCCACAGGAGGTGCCACAGGAAGAACCAGGACAGGACGCAGCTCTGGAAACTCAGCTCTGAACACAGAAAAACATGTTTTTAAAGTAAAAAAAAAAAACAATTCCATAAAAACATTTTCTCCTTTTCTAAACCCTGCCAAACAGTAATGTTTCTTTCAGTCATGTTTTGTGGACAATAATATTTAACTTCCTGCTTCCATTAGGTCAAAATGACCCAKATTGTTTGTGTGAATCAAATTCACCTGTAGTGTGTCAGTTTTACATCTTAAAGGGACAAAACAAACCTTTTTCTGCTTCTTCTCTTTCATCTTCTTGTGTTTTGTTTGTTTCACTGAGGTCCTGATCCAGAGTCCCCAACGTGTCCCTGAGCCGCTCCACCTGCTCCACATTATAAGTGTTGCCCTTCCCACAATCCATCCTGAATGTAAAACACCTCACGTCATTTATCACTTATCATTTGTGACCATCTGAACCACCCCGAGGTCTTCATCTTCTCACCCATAAGTGTAGCTCTGTGGCAGAAGGTAGGGGATGTGGGTCCTCGGCATGAGCAGGAAGGTCCTGGCCACGTGGACGATGCTGCAGAGGGACACGGTGAGGAAGGAGGACCGGAGAGACACTCCTCGTTCATACAGGAGCTGGAAAACAGGAGGCAGGAACAAAACGTTCACACAAAAACACGAGATATGATCTTTTCTGCAGTGTGAAAACTGACAGGCTAAAGCTTAAAAAAATGCAGAATGCTAAGTAGCTAAATGCCAGCAGAGGCTAAAAAATAGCAAAGGGCTTGCTAAAAGCTAAAAAGGAGCAAAATCTAAAAAGCAAAATTTTAGGTAAAAAAAAGTAGCTAAATGACAGCTAAAACTAAAAACAACAAAAATCTACCTAAAAGCTAAAGGAAGTGAAATGAGAGCTAAAGGTGCAGCAAAAGACAAATAAAATAAAATAAACACCCCAAAGATTAGCTAAAAGC